TGGGGAATCCTTGGCTCCAGTTGTGACTGTTTTCTCGGAAAGGAGAAGTCTGATGGGAAAAAGCCAGTGTCTAACCTTTGGAGGTGGCTCCCTGCTTTTGCAAAATGATTTGCAGACCAGGAGAAATTGTCCCTGGAAGAACCAGCTGAGCCAAGGGACAGGATGTGCCCAGTAAGAGACGTAACATGTCCCAGTGCCCAAAGCAGCGGCGCGAGAAAAAAAGGCATTTTAGTGGCATCACAAAATGTTCAGTTTTCCCTGCAAATTGAGCTGCATCCTGTGCCTGGGGTTTAACATTTAACACAAACAGAGCAGCTGCCCTCGGCTAAGGACGTGTTGCCAGAGGAGTTTGGCATTGGAAAGGACAGGAGCTCCCGCAAATCGAAACAAAAACACTTCCCAAAGAGGAAGCAGAAATAAAAGAGGGATTTAGCAAAATGAAAATAAAAACACAGAAATAGCAAAGAGGGGAAAAAACACTCAGTAAACAACATCCCCCAAGCCCGATTGCTGAGGGCCATTTCTGCTAAACCATCCGATTTCACAAGGACTGTGTTGACTCCGAAGTGTCCAAATAGTCTTGTGAGGAAACGGGGTCGATGCTCTGAAGTGAAACTGCAAAAAACCCCCCAAGGATGAAATTCAGGCTCCAGCCCAGCACCACAATGCTCCGGGTGCCTCAGAGAGCACCTGCAGCGCTGGGATCCTGCCAAGGGAAAGCTCAGGACACTCGTGGAGCTGCTGATGGGATCAGGAGAGGGTTAAAACCCTCACCCAGGCAGGAGAAGCCCGTGAGGATAAGGATAGGCAGCTCTGAGCTCCGGAGGAGGACACAGTGTCCATACAATACCAACACAGCTGGAAAACCCGGATTTCAAAGGACCATGGCCCCTCCTTGCCGGTATGGCCGGGAGATGGATCGGATAACCTTGGATAGTGACTGGTTTAGCTGGTTCAGGGGCGATCCTGGCCCTCACACAGGCAGCCTTTGTTTCCATGAAAGGGTCTCCCTCCATTCCAGTTCTCCTTCCTTTGACATCAGTTGCCTTTTTCCCTCTCCCACCACCCCAGGAGGTATTTCCAGGGCCAAATGCCAAGTGATTCCCAGCCCCGGGCAGCGGGAGGAGGGGATGCTCTTTGGGGATGGTGAGTCTGTGTTTTGGGGCCAAAACCAGGAGCAGTTTGTGTGGACACCCCCAGCAGCTGCTGAGTTTGGGCTCTGAGGCTGGGAATCCATCATCTGCTCCTGTATTCCATGTGCTGAGGGAAGGAGCAGAGGGATGGCAGCGAGGTGGAAGCTGCACATCACCAACCCGAGAGCCAGAGTGGTCAGACTGTCTCCTTCCAGCTGCTTTTCCAGGCCTTTCCTATCACAAACCTCACCTGAAGGCTTCTCCTATTTTTCCTCTCCGGCTTCTTCCTCCCTCTCCATGCACCAGCCTCCTCCTCCCATCAAGCTGTGCAACAAACCCTCTGGGGCTGGAGCACCAGCACTGAGCAGAAACCAACCTGCTGTAAAGAAGTGACCCAAATTAGGGGATTTTAGGGAGCTGCTTAAATCCTCTTTACTTGCCCGGGTGTTCTCGTTGTTTATTTTATTAATAATCCTTTTTTGCACAAGTTGCTCCTCTTCCTTGCCCTGTCTCAGTGGGGTGACAATATCCCAATGCAAGGGGCTGTTTCCACTCTGCAGCCAGAAAGTCCCAAGGCCTTTCCATTGCTTTGTTCCCAAAAATCACAAAGCCAGTGAGGAATGCAGCCAGACAGAGTGCATCCATGTGGCAAAGGCTGACCACAAATGACAAGCACGGGACAAATGCCTGTCCCCTGGTCTTGTCCTGCTCCCTGAGCGATGCTGGATCCACAGGGAATGTGCCAAAAATCTGGAGGGAAAATGATGCTGCCGGAGCTGCATGGAAGGCACTGGATCTTAGGCACTGCTGAGGATGCTCTGACTCCTTGCAGCAGCTTTTCCTTCTCCCCTTTCCTCGGGGCCCCCAGTGCCACGTGCCCTTCCTCGGCTGCTGATGGCTTCAAGATGTGGGAAGCTGGTCCGGGAGGAAAATTCAATCCCTGTCACCAATGCCTGGGAATGTG